AGCTACTGGGAAGAGTGATGGCCGCGTCCGCACATGTTCAGGACATACCGGGGGTATGCCACAGAGTTCGCCGATCATTGAACAATCGTGCACAGCTGTGTATTGAGCAAGGTGGAGGACACTTTGAGCAATTACTGTAGGTAAGCTGTTTCAAGAAACTGATCTTTTTTTTTGCTGCAGCCCAAACGGCGTATTTCCGAACATTGGTTTATAAGGAAAAATTGTTCATTTTGATGCCCTCTACAACCCCTATCATTTTGTCGCAATAATTATGGAACACCCTGTATATAATGTTTTCAAATCTCATTTACCTGCAGTCAAAACAAACACCACTCGACCGCCGCGTCTACTGGCTTGTCGCTATCAAGCCCTGGCAGTTATGGCACTCTGGCCAATAGGAGTGCGCTAATTTGAACGTCATGCGCTGTTGTTCGTTTTAACGAGATGTAAGTGGGATTTGAATACATCATATAAACTGTTTTTCTCTTTATTTTGTGAGCTCCGAATAAGCTTCAGATGCTCCAAGTAGTTGTCAGCAATCAACAGTTTCAGAAATGTTTTAATTGTGCTTTCGGGTGTTGTTTCAGTTTCGATGTAGTCAAATATAGTAAGATCGAACGTTTTAAATGTTACAACCTCCTTCAATAGGTTTCTATGTAAATATGGACTGCTATTTTATTTCGTAGAAGTCACTCCATTTGTCTTATATATTCTTCAGGAAGAAGGTCGAAAAACTGACCTCTTTCAGAAGCTAGATATTAAATTACTTTTTGTTTTCTGTAAAATCAAGCTTCTTACGATATTTATATGCTATAGTAATAATAATAGTAATAATAGTAATAATATTATAGACGTCTCTATTTATCTACGTATACACTTACATTGTAGTTTAGCCAAATAACAGACTTACATGGCGAAGTTTAGCATGCTGCCACTCTTACACTTAACCATACAGTCGCTAGCAGATGTTCAAAACAATACACTGTTCACAAACAGATTTGGTTTATTACATCGAAAGTAACAGATAAAAAAATATAAAAGCATACTTTCCAAACCAAAGTACACCAAAAATTATTAACCTGAATGGAGCATTTTCTCCAGACTATAACTGACCTACTGTTCATGGCAGTTCTGTCTTTATTAAACTTTTAAGGAAACTAACACTACCGCGATATTAAAGCAATGAATAACATTGGATGGCCCGCCCAAAGAGAATTTTATCATTTTTTCAGATATATGGATGGCATCATAGACAGCTTGTACATGCAGCGTAACGTATGTCCTAAAAGTGTTGCCACAAACTATGTATAGGATTTTTTTTAATGGAGAAATTTATTTAAACACTAGCCAGTTATCATAAATTACAACTCAATACCTAACTAAACTATACTATCGAATTATGTGGCCCATTCTGCTCTAACAGACGCAACTTTCTTCGAATGTCTCCCATGAGGTCCTGGACGGAATTCAGATCAATTTGTCTCAGTTTTTTGTAAAGTCTCGATTGTTCTTCATATTGGGTTTCCCAGCCTCCATGACAAATCTTCCTAGACAGTGCCCAAAAATTCTTCATTGGGCGAGCCTGCGGCAAGTTTGGAGGATTATCGTTTTTGGGAAGTCAGATTTGAGTACCTCTTGAGTTGGCATTATGCTAGGTCTGGCCAAAACATGATATGGTCATTATCATGATGTTCGAGGACAAAGTGAAGCAATTTGGAAAGACAGTTTATCAATATAGCTCTGGCTATTCAAACCTTCACACTCACTCTTCTCACAAAAGGATGGGATACACCTCTGTTAGAAATTTTTATTCAAAGAGACGTCCTTTTTGTCATCTAAAATAATGATTTTTCCATTGGCAAGGTTTACCCGCATCAGTTGACGACAGCATCTTGGTAGACGAAGGAGCTGCGCTTGAGAGTATTTGGGGCACTTGAGTCTCTTTCGATATTTAAGACAATTCCTCCTCAATTCCAACGATAACGTACTCTTAGAAGATCTGTATTGACGAGCCAGTCCCCTTGTTGGCATTCCAACCTGATTTTTTGCTCTTCTCACCAATCTCTCTGACCTCTGTGCAGTAAATGCACGTACTCTTACACTTTTTGGGAGATTCAAGCATAATATTCCCCGCTCGCACTCCGCTATTACTCGATAAATGGTTATGCGTGAAATGTTTCCATTCTGGAACATTCGACATATTTCAGCTTAGGCTACCCGCCCAACCAACTTGTAGATGCTTTTTCTTATTTCTAATTTATACATCTTAAAGCGAATACTTCAAAATAAATAAATTTTAACTGGCAGTAAAGTATGTAAACAAACTTCTGTTTCCAAAGGCAACTTGATCTTATTTTGTGTTTGATACAATTAAAGCCAATGAATTTTGTGCCAAAACTCTTAGGATATACGTCATAACCATTGAGGTACCGTAGTCTCTCCTTTGATGATTCGTTATAGGTTTCCCCATTTGCTATAAATACTTTGAAAACTGTAGTGTCACATAGGTGCAGCTATGGAGAAGTACATGAGCGTATGCGAGCTACGACAAATTCTTATGGATTATAATACGATATCTAATCTTATCTCGGATAATTTTTTGAACGAGGAGATATAGCATTAGGGTAATGCTAATCAACGATATAATCTGAAATAACAGGGACACATGAACAACAATAGACACAAGATGGTAGTTTCGATACCTGCTATGTATCGGCATAAGTTCTTTTCAAAACTGGAAATGTGCGCTCTAAAACTCAAGCAAGTATGATATGGATAGAAGTAAAACGACTTTGCCGGAGAGAACAAATAATAAAGACTAATGTTTGTGTAGCTTTTGTTTAGTTGTGCCCCGGTGGCATAAACGACTTGAAAAGGGTGTTCTAATTATAAGCAAAGCCAACAATGTTTGAGAAAATATCCATGTTTACCTTGGAAAGGTATGGAAGTTATGCTTTATGCATGATGTTCTCCGGATATCTCTCCATAACTGACTCTAGATATAATCATTCTTCCACAAAGGTTTTCGGTAATATTTTGGCACAATTGTGGCCCAATTTCAACTTGAAAAAAGCGGGATGATATTGCGTCACTTCGAGAGCAAGTGGACATTATCATTACGAGAAGGACTGCCATCTGGAAAACCTATCTGTGAGTATCCTAAAGTGTCATTAGCTACATAAGACTTGATTCTGTCCTGTTGAAAGAACATTGGAATTCGGAATAAGACGGGGAAGTGCCATCTACCATTAGAACCGACCGCTGCGAAACAGTGAAATTTAATTGAATTTATTAATTATTTAATTTATATTTTAATAATAAAATTGTTAAAGAGCACATTCTCCAGCCAAGGCCACGAAATATCTGCACTTGTGATAACGCTAGCCGTCAATGTTTACCATTCTAACATCGTCAGAAGGATGCCAAACTTGAATGGAATTTTGGGAACACAGCGGATCAGTTTGAATTATGTTGAATTTTCTTGTAAATCGCCCAAAAAAACAAAGAATTGTATTTTCTTGACCCGCGAAATTCAGGGGTGTCTAAAATGTTTTATCTAAAGAGTTCATGAAGCGTGAATACTGAGCTTGCTAATCAATAGCTTTTATTCGAAGACCATTTTTTAAGAAAAAATCGCATTGTAATGAAGTCGGAGAAACTTAATTCATGAACGTGAATGGTACCACTAACCTAAATATGAATATTTTTTTTTTATTCCTCATCATGGTCTGCATAAATATTTAAACATTTGTCAATTCATGGCAGCTTTTCGATCCCGTCTGTGAAGAGAGTGCTGCTGCCTGACAGTTGAATAAGTTACTAACTGTTTCTTTAAACATCCCATCATTTTACAAGCGCTTCCCTCCAATAAATCCATTAAGTTATGGAAAAAGACCATGGTGCTAAATCAGGGCTGTACGATGGATGCTCCAGATATTCTCAACGAAAGTGTATGTGTCTTGCCGCAACGTGAGGCTGTGCGTTGTCGTGAAGCAGAATGACGTCGCTGGAGAACAGGCCCCGCCGCATCGGTGGTCTTAAATAAAGCGGCTATGCTTCAATAATGTTTCACAGTATCTCTCAGCATTCGGTGACAGATGAAGCAGTATAACCATGCAACCAACACCGAAAGGGTCGTGAAATATAATGGCGGCGTAGTGAAAGAGTGAAAGACTGGCCAAGGGTATCTGATGTTCAACGGACATCACGAGAGAGAGAGGATGTGCGGGCACCATGCGTAATCGGTTAATACAAGATAGCAAACCTAATGCTATATTCATGCGTCCAAAAAAATCCCTGATATATAAGGAGATACCGTAGGGTCACAGCTGTTTCTGTATTTATTATATATACTTTGCAAATGTTAGTGTCTTATATAGGTGACTACATCTACTCTGTTGCTATGTAGGCGCTTAGCTGCATAATATGCAAACATGACCATGACTTGGGTTTCAGTCAGACGGAATCACACAGCTACTCTCTGTTGCGTGAGTCAATAGACAACACAGTCGAGGAAGTTCGCAAGCACATAAGACTGCCCCTCGCACTATGAACAAACTTAAATCGTGCAATTCTAGGTCCAAGCAAAATTACAATCTTTCCACACATAAAAATTTCTAAATTAATTTTTAGAGCAATTCAAAATTACTGAATACTAGTTATCGATACTACAGCACCCCTTCAACTATCGCACTTCCTCCTCTTTGCTCTTCCCCTTCATTCCTGTCTTCCTTCTTCCTTTCTTTCTTTCTGGCTTTGTCTTGTACTTTGGCAACCAGACCTGACAGACTTACTGACACACAATACTTTAGAGCACAGGACCCACGGACCGCTTTGACGGACAATGACGAATACAAGAATATAAGGTTTTGTTCTCTAAAGAAAAACTTCTATGTGATTGAAAAATAGCACTAAATTAAAATCCCCTAGTTCCTAACTAGCACCTTTCCTTATCATACGAGCTCTAAGTCATAATTTCTCTCGTCGTTTCAGATATCAAGATGATGTTCCTACTACCTTGGGTTTTCACAGCAGCCTTTGTATACATCGTAAACACTCAAAGTGTTATAGACGCTGATCTTGGAATGCCTCCCGAATCAGTGCCACTGGTCAATCCAGCTGTTACTCTAAGATGTCACCGGGTTCCCTACAGTTACAGAGTGCAGCAGTCAGACGAGAACGGCAGGCAATGCTGGGACGAAATTACAGTCATGGCGTGCTGGGGAAGATGTGATTCAAACGAGGTATGAACTTATATTTTATTTTAGTCTTCAAAGTCTATGAAATAGTACATTACATACCTAGTTTGAGGAGTAGAACAATTCTGGGTTAGTAGTTTGATAACATGAGGCGCGTAGTGCCAAAGGATAGAATGTGCGAGACCGATAATAACCGTCTCAAACGCTGTATTTATTGAGTTTTTTCACCAAACGAATATCACAAAATATTCAATTGTACATCACAAGAAGGCAAAGGAAAATTTATTAGTCAGAATTACCATGAAGTGGAACAGAAAGTTCTTCTTTCGATGGAATGTAGCGCTTAAACTTTCTTTGCCCAAATTAGCAAGATATTTTACTTTACTTTACGCATCTACGTCGTCGTCAAACAGGGATAAGACAGATACCTCATCTGTCAAATACCATAAATGTTGGCAGAACTTTTGTAAAGCTGCTTTTGAAATGGTTTTGTCAATTCTTTCGTAAGCATCATTGCCTTTAAAAAGCATAAATCCTGGTCAGGTGCTTTAACCGCTAAAGTGCATTGCCATGGTTTCACGTATGTTGTCACGATGAACATGCAGATATCTAACAGAGCTGCCTTTGTACAAGCATTTTTGAAAACCTCGCCTCCGCCACTCACCGACACGCTGACGGCACCACTTCTTCGGGAACTGTCAAGCAAAACATACATTTGTAACCATATCATTTCAATGTAGATGAAAAATAAACAGTACCAAACAAAAATAGGGTCTTTTTACAAGACTAGTCGGAAGTTACCCCAACAGCCTTACCTTTATTATAAGTTTCAGCTGGGAACTTAGTAATGCTATTTTTAGTGTTAGATTGTTCTGGCCACCCATCGAGCTTGATGCATGGCGCCTGGCGGTCGAATCTTAATTTTTTTCTCTGTATCTCCGCTAAGGAGTGTTATTGAAAGTTCAATTGATTCTCTGTAGTCGTCTCTAGCAACTTCTTTTAAGTATACATCTGTACTTTCTCGGAATACAGATTTTTCCAGCTCTCGCGAAACTTTTTAAACACTGGAATGTCATCGCTTGTAGTCACTTGGTCGATCTTTCATTCAAACGCGCCTTTCAACACCAATTCGTAGACGTGAACGCGGCAAGCAAAAATAAGCATTTCTGTATTAACTAGTATCAGTAACAGTATAGTATCAAAATGTTCCTCATTTGAGTTTGATTAGTATCATGCTATGGAGTTCAGATGGGCAAAGTTTCTTGTAAATCTATCTCGGAATCTGAAGATGAATTATCTTGCACTGGTTCGTAAGATGATGAAGGAGTTAAGGAGCAACATATTTTGCTCACTGCTTTTATGGTTTAAATGACCAAGGTGACTAGGCTCTCTCTGCTGCTACAAGAAGATCCTATCTCCATTTATTTTCATCAATTGCGGCATGCGCAATATCAAACAAATTGTCCAAGTTGGTAACAAACTCTTGTCGACATTGCTCACACAGTTATGTTTTGGTTACATTTTTTTCGTAAATCTCTCCAAACTTGGTATAAGGTAACTAGCTTCTTAACACAGTTAGGTAGAGATTTAGGCGGTATACGTGTCTTCTCCCACTAATTAATGCACTAACGAATAGTAAAGTTGGCGCTCTCAGTGACACTTAATTTCACGTCCCGCGATATTATAGAACAAAACTGCTAGTACTTGTTCATTAGAGGGAAGATTTGAACCGGTATTTTGATGCTTTACGTCCCCTGTTAAAAATATTTCCTTTTTAGAACTTTTTATAACCTTCGACATATTGGCTGAATGAAAACGGTGCGTTTACTAATAGGACAAACGAGCACTGCAATACGTTATCTAGCTCGCGCCTAATATGCAAGTTTTTCCACGTTCCAACGCAACTCGGCTCTAGGTACATAATTTACAGAATATTTACAATTGTTTCGATAGTGCTCAGGCAGAATTAGAGGGTACGCGATCTTCAGTTTTTTTGGGACACCCTAATGTACCTCTTAAGAAAGGGGTGTAACACAAGGAGAAGGATAGGGGACGCATGATAAAATCTTCTTACAAGGTATTATTATAGAGACATATTGCATAGGGTGGTTGAATTTTGGAGGCTGGATTTGACATCGCTGGCCTGGCTGGCTGATTGGATGATATACTTTGGTCAAAATCGTCTTTACTGATTTGTTTTTAAGAATCTCTTGTGCCCCTGATCCAGGCAGCATCTCCCAACGTATGTCATCTGGGAAGCAATGAGAAACTGCCCCACTCGTTTATATACCTTCTTAAGGGTCTTCTAGAATTTAAAAATGTTTCTTTCACTTAAGCATGAGAACACAGCAGCACATTCCGTACATTCACTGAGAAGCCAGCGCAAAGTAGTGCTGTGCATGGTATGTGCCTACAGAACGATGTCTACCAATGCACTGCTGGTGGTAGCTGGAATCCCGCCAATCGGTTTGCTGTACAGAACATGGTTGTTTTGGCAGCTACCTGAAAATGGTAAAAAAGAGAGAGTACGCGAATTGCGTATATTGCAAGGAAGAGGAGGATACTCTTAATCACCTACCAGAATGTAGGTAGGCTGACTACCAGACAGATCTGGAATTTACCCCCGGCGGGAGGCACGCTGGTGAAAATTTTGCCATGCATATACGCGAGGGAAAATGGGATGATGTTCAACCAATAGTGCGACGAATGATGCTGAGTAAGGTAGATTTCTATTTTGCTCGGTTGTACATGTACTCGTACATAGGTATAAAAGTATGTATGTGTAAGATAGAGAAGAGATGAGATTCCTTTGGTATGAAAACCTAGCACAACGCTACCCACTATGAAGAAATGCAGCAAGCATAGTAAGTATGCCATTTCTTTAGAATCTCATACTTCAGTAAGAAAGCGCCTACATTGCGATACTGTAGAGTTTTTCTACCTGATAGTTTCTATAAAATATTTCCCTGCCTAAAAGAAGTCCGCACATTAGTATCGTGTAGATGCATGCTTTTATTACTTTCAACATCACTTCTACAGAAACATTTGAGTTAGAGCCAATGATTGAAGACAGACCGTAAACTGCTCGATTAGCCTTTGGAATTATTTATTCAATGAGGCCTGTTGTATTAAGATTTACCCCAAGGTATCGTGATTAATCGAAGACGGGGGTTACGACTGTTCGCTTCCCATTCTTCCATACTTGATGTATTTACGGTACTTTCTTGCTCATCCAAATACAATACACGTCGTATTCTGCTTATTACAAGTAAGCATCCACCAATCCTAGTAATCGAATATTTATTCCATTGCCTGCTTTCCTCTCGTGATTTTGTTATTTGGATCCATTTAGCACGCACAAATTAAATGCGTATTGTGACATCGTTTGTCGCTGCTACGTGGTGTCGTTGGCCAAGTGCATCTGTAATGACTTTAACTGTACAGCAAATTTGCGTTTGTCTTCCCTTGCCTTTGGTGAAACCATGCTGATATTCTGGAATGATTTTACTGATAAAGAGCATGATTCGTCGGAGTATAAGTTTTTCGGTAATTTTACCTATTATATTAGGTGATTGGCCTGTAGATTCTGTTAGTCTATGATCTTTACATACTTTATGGAGGGATTTCAGTTCATCCTATTTTCAATGCTGAGGAAATTATCCAGCAGTAAGAATCCAGATCATACAATGCACCAGTTGAACCTTAACTGTGGCCCCTGCAAGTTTTATAGCATTTATTTGAATACCATCTGGCCCTGGTGCACTTGATGACTCCAATGTGGTTTTTTGAATCGCTCCATCCGTGATTAGAACAAAAGAAATAAGTGTTATACTGGAATAGTGTTAAGCATATCAATTACTACTGGAAAACACAACAGGCACAAATTGCACGGGCATACATTTTCGTTATTTTGATGTTGAGCAGGAAGTTCGGTATCCTTCGACATCTTTTTTTTTGTTTTTAATACTCTTGTCGCTAATAAATTTACAAACATTGTAACAAATACACAGTCTCAATAGTTAATGACATTTTTACAAACCAGCAATCAGGTATTTGAAATTGCCATGTACACTTAAAGCAACGTATATTGACGTATACGTACGGATGCCGACAATACTCTAACATTTGGAACTCGTCCTGTAGTTGTCTTATTGGAGAACCTCGATGTTTCATCAGTAGCTAAAAAAATGACAAATGTCAATATATCAATATATTTTTTCAATATAATATATTGTCACTGTCATTTGTATATTTGCAATTTAAGAAAGGCCTCTGAAGACGTCAGAACGTTATATATAATATATAATATGTTCATTTCTAGTTCTGTGACTTAATTCGACGCTTAGTATTTGCCATACAACCAACCTTTTGCTAAAATATCGTAAAAGTCGGAAATCCGTGAAATCAGTTTTATTTATTTATTCAATGTTTCTTGAGACAGTCATCTATCCCGTAATTCTTACACAACATTTTAGAAGACATTATTTTTATTAAATCAGTTGAGTTAGCTTGCGTAATATATTGCAGAGTATCTTACGTTACATCAAAAATATTTATTTAAGTAGAAATGTTTACCGAAAGCCAGTCCTCTGACGTCAGGTCCACTGCCTTTGATAAATGCAGACGTAAATCAACGATTTTTTTGAAAACCAATCTGCTACTTTAGCTTGAATTCTTCAATCTTTACCTAGTATAGAGACAACTTAGTAACTGAGATCAAAGTGCTCCGACTCGCCTTGTGATTGTAAATAATGTAATTAATAATAATTATCAATCAACGTCTTTTTTATTGGTAACAGTATTACAGGAGGCGAGATTCAGATAATACAGTGTCCGTCAGAAAGAGCGCATTTTTTTAAATGAGTATAGTCAAAATAAGTTTGGAAGAAAATAGTTTATTATATCAAAATACTCGGAAATACATGTCATTTTTTGAGTAAAACAAAATGAGCCCATTGCGTCGGCCAGCGTCCGTGCAGGAATTTGGGTTACTTCTCTTCTTATTTCCTCCTTCAAATAGACAAGGGTCTGAGGCTTGCTTTGGT